TCGCAAGTTCCGCACTCTTATCAAAGAACATACCATTATACTTATGCAATAAGCACATGGAACATATGCTGACCTCGAGACACTGCGCAGGGATTATCCCATGCACACGCACTTCGGCACGTTTTGCGAGAAACCGAATGCGGGTGGAGCTACGATCAGCGTGGCCAACTCTTTCCTTGCCAACTTCACGAATGTGGAGCATTGCGAGCATGTACACGGCCGTCTCCTCTCTCTCTCTCTCTCTCTCTCTCTCTCTCTTTCTCTCCAAGGACCTCAGGGTGACCTCAAAGTGCACAATATACACCTCGATCCCACTCTCAACGATGCTGAGAAGTTTTCTGTTTTCGAAAAAATCGCTGAGACCCTCCCTCGCAGCAACTCGCGTTTGACGTTCCTTGCGGGCGAGTTTAATTTCCTAGAGCCAGGAGAGACCCGAATCAGGACTGCTAGTGAGTACCAGCGTCCTGAACGTCCTGCTCTCCTTCGGCGCTTTCGCGAGCTCTTCCCGAACGCGCTCGAGCTGGCGCAAGACTAGCCCACGCATAGGACTGGGGACCTCGGAAGGTATTCAGTCTCTGGGACGTATTGATCGCATATATACTTTTGCTGCCACGGCTACAGTCTTGGAGGCCAGGCCTACTGCTGGAATCATTGGGCACGTCTTGAAAGCCGGTGAGCCGAGTGATCATGTTCCTGTCTTCGTTCGTTTTTCTCCAGGGCTTCGGTCCCAGGCCAGTATGCCATCTTGGGTGACCGCTCACCCTGAATTTGCACAGCTGGCGGATGAAGCTCGGGCCCAAATTGACCTCTCCACGGACCCCCTCCTCGCTCTAGAAGAGATCAAAGAGTGCGTGCATATAGCGACAGCCGAGATTAAGTCACGCATTTACCGTTATGGTGTACAAACGGATACTCATCGTCTCATGGTTTGTTTGAAATGCAAGCGTGCCAGTACGAACGGACAAAGCCACATCATACGCAAGCGCGCACGCGCATGCGACCTAATCGCACAGCTCACAGATGAGCAGCACGAGCACACCATAGATCAGGCGAGGCTCCACGAGCACATCCGCATCATACAAGAGCGCATCCTGGCTCTTGAGCTCCGTGAGCACGAGCAGCCCCCAGAGTACCAGCACGACGACGAGTGCACAGTCAAGCTGCACAAACTTTTGAAGGCCTGGTCTCCCAAGCACAGGCGCATTTCGCCCGTGGGCATCCTGGGCAACCAAGGGCGCGCGCCCACCAGTTTAGAGGACAGCGCCGCCCGACTTGCTGAACACTGGGGCCGCTTGCACACCGCCGTTGATGCGCCGAACGTGTCCCCGCGCATTTCAGAGATGCCACTAGCTCACTGCCAGAAAGTTTCTCCTGGGATCAACTGGGTTGCTCCGCTCTCTGACGTGCTCGGCTTTCTTCATCGCAAGAATGACACTGCGGCGGGTCCCGATGGCATTCCGCCCCCAGGCTGGGCAAAGTGTAGCATCGGGCGTAAGGAGATCTTATACCAAGCATATGTGAGTTTTATGTATGGTCACTCTCTTCCTGGTGGCTTCAACCATGGGGGCGCGGTTTTCCTGGCCAAAAATTTCGAGGGCGACTCCCCGAGGGATGCGCAGAAAAATGCAAAGGAGACCCGTCCGTTATTGTTGGGCAATATTGATAATAAAACGTTCGCTTCGCTGCTGTGTATTCCTTTTTGGTCAACAGGCTCAGTTTTCTATGCGCAGAAAGCAGACTGGGCTCATCAAAGGCAGGAGTGCGCTCGACCACATAATGCTGATAGAGTCTGCCTTTTTTTGGGCATGCAGTGTTTCAAGGAGCCTATCGAGCTGGCTTCTTGTTGCTTGACTTTGCCGCTGCTTTCCCGAGCTTAGCGCATGCGTGCATCCTGACCGTGTTCCAACATATGCTCATCCCTGAACAGGTCGTGGACGCTGTTCAACAGCTGCATCGTGATATTTACACAAGTATCAGACCAGGATGAGGCAACGTTCAGAGGCTACTATATCACACGAGGTATTAAGCAGGGATGTCCATTATCTGGTGTATTATTTGCTTTAGCTGCTGATCCTATTTTCAGGTGCATGTATTCAGTTATGACTCCCCTGGCCCGGCCTTTTGCACTCGCGGACGACATGGGCATTGTTTTTTTGCGGCCTTGTCCGCGCGCCCCCCATCGCGCTGAGATTGCTCTCACAGGCCGCGATGGTGACGGGCCTGATCTTGAACCCAGGCACGTGCTCGCTGGTATTTGCTGTGCCATATTCCAGGAGAGATGTGTGCGTGATGTTTCGTGGATCTGGCATTAAAACTAGGCCGTATCGGGTCGACACCTTCGGTAAGTACCTGGGAGATTACATCGGCCCGAAGGGGCCCACGGTGTCCTGGGACGCTCCAGGGATCAAATACATCAAGCGAGTCTGGCACATCAAAGGTCTATCTCTAGGGCTATGTCAGAATATCATTGCCTACAACTCGCTGGCCTTCTCCGTGTTCAGCTTTGTGGGCCAGCTGCACCGGGCTCCACCGGCTGTTTTGAAAAAAGATAAGCCCACCAGCTTCTAGCAGCCGCTCCCGGGCATTCCAATCCAACCGATATTCTGAGGTCCCCGTCGGTGCTCTGTTTTCCCCACGATCCCAGAGACCTCCAGAGAGAAGCCAGAGCCAGTATGTATCGGGTCGCCCTAAAATCTCAATGGTTCTCCGAAGTGCGAGGAAGGTTTGCTTGGCTGGAGGACGAGGAGATTGATCGGCTAGCAGTTCTACGTCACACAGAGCGGTACGGATCCAGTATTTGTTACTCCTTGATTACCAACTACAACCAGCCGACTGCTTTTCCCATGATGATAGATGACCCCGACACTGACATGCTGCAGAAAAAAGTGAATACCCTGCTGAGCCGTAGGCAGGCACCAATCTTTGCCAATTTAGCCCTCCTCCCCCGTATCAGACATTTTGACAACACTGCTCAGCTTCCCAAGGCTGGTTTAATTGTAATGCGCATCAAGCTTGCTAACACTAAACTTGCCCCATTTGCGGGCGCTGCAGTATTGAAAGGTGTCTGTAATTCCTGGGCCACCAGTGCTAGGCATCGTCAGGGGCGGAATGCTTGTCTGTTCGGGTGCAGAGCGTGTGGAGGCGATCACATCCACCACTATTTTGACTGCCCTTGCGCCCTCGAGCCGCTCTGTCTACTTCTGCCCCATCTTCCCGCTGACGTCCTCTCCTGGACGGCCCAGGACCGCCTGCTGATTCACAGTCATAATACGTCTTCCTCTCCTGCCTTGTACTCTACCATGCTAGCTCACGATCTTTTATTCAGCACGTTCAATTCTCTCAGGAGCCTGAAACGTTTCGGCCCTGAGTGCATACTCACCTTTTTTTACAAAGCTCGTGCGAGGGCTATCTCGAAGCGGAAACCTCACATTCGATTTCTGTTTCAACGGTGACGTGAGTTCCTGGGGATCTGGAGCTTGAAGGGGCTGCGCCATCATCATGTGCATCACCCGCATCAGCATCACCACGATATTGTCTTCATCATCACCATCATAATCAGCAACACTATCATCATCAACATCAGCATCATCACCGTAACCATCATCATCACCACAGCCAACAAGAACCACAACGTCAACAACAACAGCAGCAACAATAACGGGAGGAGCAACAGCAACAGCAACCGCAACATAACCATCATCACCATCATCACCAGCAGCATCATAATCCGTATCATGCCATCGAGCCACAAGAAATTTTGGAGAGGCCGCAAAAAGCTCCCCAAAGGCCCCAATCAACTTGTTGGAAGTCCTTAGAAGCTCTATAGAGGCAGCAATACGTTCCCCGGAGGCCCCAATAAGCTGTTCTGCCCCATGAAGGGGGTCTTCACCCCCCCAAGAAGATCTGCAGCCCCCCAATAAGATCTTCTGATGCCCTAAGAGGTTCGTTGCTTGTTGTTGATCAGTGATGAGGGGAGGGGGTCTGGGTCTCTTCCTGGAAGCTGCCCCCCTCTTTCCTGCCGCACTCGAGGATTTATAAGGTACGGAGCGCCCTTGACCATACAAACACTCCACACAAGCACCCAACGGGCCACACAAACATATCCTCTCCTGACATTCGGGTCACAAACCAATGCAAACTGATTGCGGGGCGCCAGAATCTGATCCAGACTTTGCCGCAACTTGCGTTCTGCCTACTGTGCAATAAGGATTGGGTGAGTTGTGTCGACACCGGGGGGAGGAAGTGTATGTTAATACGGAGCCTAAACCCCCTCCGAAGCGGAAGAGGCGACTTGGAAAAGGAAGCGCATCATACCATTTCAGCCCAGAGGGCTGGTGGAAGGGATAACAGACTATGGCTTCGGGAGCGCGAGCACACCGTAATTGGCCGAGATGCTAGCTTCGTGAGCGCGCACGTGTCGTAACTTACGTGTCCCAGGGCCCCCAGCAATTCAGAGAATGTGATCCCGAGGTTGTAACGCATTCTTTTCTGGCTGGGAAGGTCGCGCGTTCTTCAAATTTCCAACTTTAGCACGAGGAACCAATAGTTAGAATATCTGACACTTCCGCATTGGAACTGTTGCAGGGTGCAGGAACCAATCCTCGCAGCAGGGTGGGCCCCAATGGTGCGGGCAGATTTGGGATTTGCCAGGGAGCCTAAGCGCGCGAAGCGCGCGCGCGTGCTTTCAGTGGAAACGCGGATCTAACGAGAGTTGAGGTGACAAGGTTCGGTGGTCTGAACTAGTGGCACATAGGCGGAGGGAAGCGGCAGAGAGGAAGGGATACTAGAGAGGGGGAGAAGGGGGCCAGGGGTGAGGTGCAGGGGAGGGCAGGAGTGCAGGGGGGGAAGGGGAGGGAGATTGGGGAGGACAACGGAAAGGGTAAAGAGACGGTCAAGTAGAGGTGTTGGAGCATGGGGACAACAGAGCCTCGCCACTCGTCGGCCCGCCCCACCTCCGCGGCCACAAGCCTCGTACACTCGTCGGCCCGCCCCCTCGCGAGGCTTCCGCGGATGGGAGGCCAGCGGCTTGCCCATCCAGGCGGCGTCCCGAGTTCCGCCGTTGTTGCCGTCGCGACGCCCCATATGCATTCGGGATCGCCTAGGGTTGCCCCAAAGCGCACGTCAACCTCGAGGCACACGTCAGCTTCAGATCATCCCCGTACACTTCCACTGCCCCTTGTCTTAGTATGGTCGTCGCCGCCGCCGTCTCCGTATTCCGTTTATTCCTTTGGTAAGACCGCGAAGTCGCAATATGTGGTTAAGACGCGGGAGTGGTAAAGTGAAGGCGTTTCTTGATGAAAATGTACACATATTATTGGATGCCATGAGCGAGCCAGTAAATATAATGCATCGAAGTTGTGTCCAGTGTCGTTGACATGACTCGCATAGCCGGATCCGAATTGTTAGAAGCACCATCGCAATGTTCTAACATGAGTTGTTGTGTCACGGCGTGGCTTTAGCATTGCATGCTCATGGCATGGTGATGTGGCACAGTTGCATGGGCATGTGCTTGTGTAGGTTTGGAGGCATGGTGCGTCAGCAAGCCCATGGGTCATCTAATCAGAGGTGGATGGTTCTTAAGGGAAGCCTTGGGTCCGTGGGGGTCAGTCATCAAGCCATCCAGGTTGATCTCCGCCTGCTGAGTTCGCAGAGGCACCCAGCGGACAGTCTGGGTCGGTATCAGAACCGTCTCGGGATGATATGGGGCCGTCGGGCGGCCGCCTTAGGGTGTTCTTTGGCCACTTTGGGATGGTGCACGCGATAGACTCGATGTGCAACTCGCGCCGACGCCATCTCCGCAGCAACTACGCAGCGGAGACGTTAGTTGCCATCAACATGGAAGACACCTATATACGCAACCTTTACCACCGCACAGGAGTTGAAGCACAGATCAGTCATCACGACCGAGCCAACGAGAGCCACAGTCAGCGTAATATTGTGGATAGTGGGATTTCAACGAGCATGTTCAATGTTCATGCATCGGGGGGGCGTTACGACACGTGCGGCAGAGCGTGCAAGCAACGTGCCCCGTTTGAGAGTGAGGAGTGAATGCAATGTTGGCAGTCCCGCCCCCGCCGCGTCAACTATTTGTTGACGCTTTGCGTGCCACCAGCCCATCCAGAAACGAGGCCCAAGAGAGTTGAGGCGATCAGGGAAGCGGGGGAGCACGAGAGGGGCAGTTGTTGAGAGGATGAGGAGGAGAAGGAGGAGGAGGACGAGGACGAGGACGAGGAGTTGAAGGAGGAGGAGGAGGAGAGAGAGAAGGAGAGTGAATAGGCAGATGAGAAGGAGAAGAAGGGCGATCAGAAGGCCAGAGGCCTCTCGGATGTTTCTTGGGATATCTCTTGGGGGGTTATTGGGAGGCTGATTCAAGCGCCTTGAGGGACGCTTAGGGGCCTCCTGGGGGCCTCTTGGTACTCTCTTGGGAGCCCTGGAGGTCCTCTGGAGGCAATCGTGGGGGAGGTCTCTCAAAGAAGGTGTGAGCTTTAATTTGCGTCGCCCCTCTGGAGCCCCCACAGTCGCCTCGTGGAGCCCTCTTGGGGCGCTCGTGGGGCGTTATTGGGGCGCGCTTGGTCGCTCTTCGGGCCGTCTTGGGGCCCTCTCGGGCCTCTTCTGGAGCCTTCTTGGGCCGTCTTGGATTCATCTTCACGCATCTTGGACCCATCTTCACACCTCGGAAAGCCATCAGACGCGAAAAGGCGAGACAACAAACTAATGTGGTTGTCCTTAGGTCTGGGAAGGATTTGGGCCTCGTGGGTGCTCTCTCGGGGGTGCTCCGAGGCAACTTGGATCCGTCTTGGGGCGGTCTTGGAGATTCTTGGATGACGTTTGAGACTATCTTGAGCTATCTTGAGCCTTCTTGGAGGACATCTTGGGTTCTCTGAGGCTCTCTTGGAGCCATCCTTCGCCATCTTGGACGCTCCAATGGGTCGCGGGGCGGCCCGTCCAGGTCCAAGGGGAGGGGGTAGGGGGAGGGGTCATGCTAACCCCTAGGTAGCAGGCCGTCTAGCTCACCACGTGCTCCAGCCGCTCAAGGAACCAATGGAGTCCACGGGTGCCTGGGGCCCTGGCAGCACGAAGTTCAGGATCTTGAGTACCCCTGAAACGAAGTGCCGAGCATTCTATGACAAGGGCGGCTCCCCAGGAAGCGCAAAGCACCGACACCGATGGACAGACTGTGACATCCTGAGGAGTATCCCCGCCGTTCATGTCAAAACCCATGCAAGGTGGTCGCGGGGCGCCCAATTTGGAAGCAAAGGGCATTTTACAAGGGATGGTGGTGGGGTGGTCTCATTTGTCCGGGTTGGCTGCGGGTCTTCTGGGGGAGGGGGTGTTTAGTAATAGGGAGCAGTGATAAGACCTTTCCCCGAAGGGGCAGCGGGGAAGACGGCAGAGAAAACACCCTAAGTCACCTACGCCCAGAGGGTTTGTGAGATTAAGTGTCCCTCTGCCCGTCATGTTCATAGTTTGAAAGCCCCTCCAGGGGCGTCGATCGAACGCCCAATTGTAACGAAGGAGAGCGCTCCATGACTGCATTTTGTTCCGAGCGCCTACGTTTCAGCAGCCCACGGCGCGCGCTCCAAGACTGCATGTGTACAAAGCGTGTTGGCGCTGCTCAGTCCTCTTAGGCACCGGCCAGTCTGTGAGGCAAAGGTGGTCATTTGTACGAGGCGAGCGTATTGTCCAAATCCATTTGTTTTGTTGAGTTTCAGGTGTGCCACTTGGGCACGATGACCATTTTCTGGGGTGCTGGATCGTCTCTCTTGACGTAGCTTCGCGGTATGTTCCTAGGGGTGCATTGGTCATCCCATGGGCTGCGTCTTTGCCGCCTGCTGCTGTCCGGGATTCTGTGATCGCCCTATTTCAGTATCAAGACCGCGGGTTTGTAGCGCCATTCGGCGCTCACTGCGGCAATCTTTCTCCGTTTCAATATGAGGCTTACCCCATTCCGCTAGCCCCCAAGAAAAGATTTGACAAACTGGCTGATTGGCTGGGAAGAAAGCAGAAGAGGAGAAGGACGTGGCGGGGTGAAAGGCTCGCATATAAGTTCGTATTCCCAGAGTTGGGCCCCTCTTGGGGTCTCTTCGGTGCCTCTTGGGCGGCTTTGGGGCCGTCTTAGGGCCCTCTTGGGCCGTCTTGGGGCCTTCCTGGGGGCCTCATGGCCCGTGTTGGGAAGATCTTCGGAGCCTTGTGGGCCGTCTTACGCGGTGTCAAGACAAAGACGGCGAGTACGTTCCTATGGGGATGGGGCGATTTTTGGTTCTTGGGGCCTTCCTCGGCAGTCGTTTGGCAAAATATGTGGGTCTTCTTGGAAGCCTCGCGGCCCGTTTCGAAGACATGTTTGATCGTCGTGGGGCTACTTGAGGCCGTCTCTACACTCTCTGGGACTATCTTGGCGCTCTGTTTGGGCCCTCTTACTCTAAAACGAGCTGGGGGACGTAAGGAGTGGAAGCGAGCGTGCGCCCGCGGCCGCCTTGGCTCAAAGCGGCCGGCCGCCCAGATTTGACTGCGCTTCACCGCGAGGCGCACTATCGTCATCGAGACTAAAGGTGTTCCCTCTTACTTGAGATGGCATCTCCTTTTGCATTGGGATTATCGTTACTACGATACAACCGAGCTGGAGCTTGGCTTCGCCTGAGGCGAAGCTGTTGGCTGGGCCTCCCAGCCCCTTTTCAAACTTGGTAGCGGAGCTGGCCTATGGTGGTCAGCTCTAGCTCTACCCTTCACCATCCACGGCACTATCTGGTGGACTACAGATACGGTGGACAATCAGGGTGCAGTGGCATTGCGCGGAGGAATGTACATAGCTACACAGTACCGCGAGGAAACTTGCAGCGGCACCTCTGCTCCAGCGGAGGTCTCTTACTCATATCCTACATCCCTGCGCTATTACACTCCTGAAGTCCACACACCTACTCCAATTGGAAATTTCTGCGAAGACAATGCATGGAAACATGCGATACGATATATTGCCGCCTCCGACCCCACGCAGACTTACGACGACCAAACACAAGTCTCCACCGACTACACCCGAAATACGAGGCCACTGGATTGGGGTTACTAGCCTTGGGCTCATATGGGTCGCTCTTGGATGTGCGGTGGGACATCTCCGGGGCGGAGACGACACCAGGACGACTGGCCCCCACTGGGATCCTGCCAGCCAGGTACCCTTTCGCGAGTTTGTCCGCGAGGCACACGCCTGGATCAACGTGACCACAGGCAACATGACGCCCTCCCAGCAGGCCGCTGCACTACAGCGCGGTCTCGGAGGGTTCGCACGGACCATAGCCATGAGAGTCCCCCCAGCAGTCATCAATTTTGGTGTCAATATAGGTGGTCACCACACTGGCGGCGCCACCTACATTCTGTTCCTTTTAAGTACGAAGTTCGAGAACCTAGAAGAGGAACGCCAACTCAACTCTGGCACGGCTCTCATCGACGTTCGTGCCCATGCGGGAGAACGAATGGACCAGACGTTAGCACGATTCGAGATACCCCCCTACGAGGCCGAAACCGCCGGCTTCACCATCCCCAATTTCCAGCTATCAACAGTAATATTATTCAGAGGTCTGGGAGTGGGGACGTCACGGGCACAGCAGTTCCTGCAGCCTCTGAACCGCCGCATGCCGAGGGACCAAACACAATTTGACGTTCTACTCGAATGCATGAGGTCTTATGCACACATAGCTGAAAGGACCCCTGGCAATATCGGTGGTATTTTTAGTCACGGTCACCGAACCGAGACTTCCCATACAGAGGCCAACGCAGGGCAACCTGCTAACAACGTCTGGAATGATGATATGCCGCCGACTGAGACCACTACACTGTTGGCGCAGAATGGCGGAACGGCCTCGGGGTCGCAAGACCCATGGGCCAGATCTAGGAGGCCACCCGATGCCGTCTCCCCTATACGGGCTACGACCCTACTGGGCTCTGCGGGGCAAACCGCCGAGTCCGACTTCGACTCTGGCACCGACACTGATGCGTCTTCTGGTGATGAAGCTACCGCTTTGGATTACTCTGCTCAGTTGTTATTTTTGGGTTATCAAAACCACAAGCGTCGCTGGCGGAGATTCATGAAGAAACCAGTCAGAAGGGTAAGATGCATGGCGCGGCGGACACAGAAAAGGAAAAGGCAAGGGTCGAAGTAAAGGCAAAGGTAATCGTCGGCGACTACACGGCAAAGGTATACGAGCATCCCTAGCGTCTCTCACTGGGCCCAAGCATGACTGTTAGGCGCCGGCAGAAACCGTAGGCATACATCAGGTAAAGGTAAAGGACGACGAGGAAACCCAAAGGATGCCAACGGTAAAACCATAGATTGCGACACATGCCACAGTGCACAACATTTCCGACGCGAATGCCCCCAAGGTGATGGAAGAGGCAGGGGTCCGTCAATGCGTTTGGCTCAAACGGACTCCGACACACAGCGCGTCGATTGGGCGTCACTCTTGGCCGACCCTGCCGACGGCTCAGCCACAGTCATGCACTTCGTGGCTGCCAGGCATCTAAGTGCCAGCACGACCCTCGAGAATAACGCCGACGAGCTGTTCAAGGAGGCGTTCATTTGCCACAGCGACATCGATTTGGCAGAGTGGCTGGGTTTACCCATCGCGGGGCATCCTGCAGATATTGAGTTTGTCGAGAACTTCCACATGCCCGTCGAAGATGATTTTGGCGTGGCGGGGGCACCCGCGGACTCAGATTCTACCATTCCTGCAACGGATGAAGATGCACGCGCCATGCTTCATCTTCGGGCGATTGGAATTCCGACAAACACGGAATCGATCGATGATGATCCGTTGCGGGGAAACCCGCGTGACGCTGGCGACCTATCTGAACGTATTCAATATGAACTTGGACATAATGAAGAATTTCAGTATACTTCTGTTGCGTCAGATCGGTCCGCTAGCAGTCCGATGCGATCGCCAAGCCGCCTACCTTTCATAAGGAAGAAGAACTATCACGACGACCCAAGTCTTTCGCCAATGGACGACGAGGACGAACAGGGAGATGATGACCGCATGGCACGTCGCGGTCGAGCTCCT